GCCGCTAAAGTGTGGATTAAGGGTGGCCCATTAGCCCCAGGCTAAGTCTTAAACTGTTCCCAGACCTAATTTTCCTCTCCACTCTACTGAGCAGTGTCCAGCAGGTCCCTGCAGGCTGCTTCTCACTGTATGCTGTTAGACCTTTGCCTCTGGACTCCTCAGCCAGGTGCTCCTAGGCTTCCCACGCAAATACACCCCCAAGTGGGACTTCACAAACTGCCTCCTACTTCACTTCACTCTGCTTTACTCCCGTTAACACTGTCACAGCCAGGCTTCTAAAGCTCGGTGTCTATCCATCCAGAATGGAGCGCACGAGCTTCTGAACGTGGCCACCCACATGGTTGGTAGAACTGTGGGCACATGGGGAGAGGAGGAACAGACAGACAGAGCTGTTCATTGGGTGTTCTTGTCTTCAGGGTAATGACAAGGATGACTTGGTTTGTGACAAGTTGTCCAGGGTACCTTGGCCTGCAAGTGTCCCTGCATTGCTTTTTCTCTGCTATTACAGCAAGCCTTCACGTTGCCATAATAGGAGAAACAGAGAAATTGAGAAGCCAGGCCCCAGAAGCAGTGAACAAGGAATCGAGAGACCTAACTAACCCAACAGACTCCCAACAACTGTGAGACCTTCAGAGTCAGCCCAGCCCACTCCACAGGGGCCCTGGATCCTCAGGAATCTACCCCAGCTGATGCCCTGAAGGACTTCTGTTGGCAAGGCTGTGGTGAGAGAAGAAATGCCACATTATTAGGCTTTGGGATCACACCACAGACGTCACGAAAGTCAAGTAGACAGACAGGAGACACCTGAGCCAGCCTTTCCTTGAAAGATACAAAGAGATTGAAGAGGGGAGAAGCAAATGGAAAAGACATCTCAAAAAGTGAAACCAGTCAAGTGACAACCTCAGGTACCCAATGGGTAAGGGAAAGTCCTAGTGGGGGCCATGTGGGGTCAGAGGCAGTAAGGGAACCTTCTTGAGGTAGAGTTACAATAACAGGAATAAGAGATCCTGAAGGGGTGGCTGTGAGACAAAGATGCAGGGGAGGACCTGAGGAGAACCACCTGGAGGGAGTGCCTGAGGAGGACCACCTGGAGGAAGTGCCTGAGAACCACCTGGAGGGAGTGCCTGAGGAGGACCACCTGGAGGGATTGTCTGAGGAAGACCATCTGGAGGGGAGGGAGTGCCTGAGGAGGACCACCTGGAGGGGAGGGTGTACCTGAGGAGGACCACCTGGAGGGAGTGCCTGAGGAGGACCACCTGAAGGAAGTGTCTGAGGAGGACCACCTGGAGGGATTGTCTGAGGAGGACCATCTGGAGGGGAGGGTGTACCTGAGGAGAAACACCTGGAGGGGAGGGTGTGCCTGAGGAGGACCACCTGGAGGGAGTGTCTGAGGAGGACCACCTGGAGAGATTGTCTGAAGAGGACCATCTGGAGGGGAGCGAGTGCCTGAGGAAGACCACCTGGAGGGGAGGGAGTGCCTGAGGAGGACCACCTGGAGGGAGTGTCTGAGGAGGACCACCTGGAGGGAGTGTCTGAGGAGGACCACCTGGAGGGAGTGTCTGAGGAGGACCACCTGGAAGGGAGGGAGTAACTGAGGAGAACCACCTGTACCCTACCCTGCTGTATCTCCTGCTCACCCTTCCTCCCTCCCGCCCTGCTCTTGAAGTCTGTAAACAGTCCACCCACCCACTGCATCTACCTGTCAGCCCAGCCAGGATGACCAGCACAGCCAGGACACCTCTCCAGCTTCCCTCCATCTCAGCATGATCTTCCTTACCTGAAAGATGAAGAAGGAGCAGTGATGTTAGAGCCAAAAGGATCCACCGCACCGCACAAACACTTTGGACACCTCTGGAGCGCCACCTTCTAGGCAGGCAGTGTTCCCTCAGAAGATGCGTTTGGGCCTCATCGCAGAACCACGGGTGGGAAACTGGGCCTGGCCCCATCGCTGTGTTCACACAGACCTCCAAGAACTCTGGTGCAGCTCACCTTAGAGAAGCCCTGAAGCACACAACCTGACCTTAAGTCCAGGTATAGCTGACAAGACTCCAACAGGACAGCCTGACTCTGAGTTGCTGACCAAAAGGTACAGCGTGGTTGCCTGCTCTTCACTTCCACCTCCAAGGCAAACCCCTGTCCATCATGAGCTCACAACCTCATGCAGGAAGGTGGGACGCAGTGAAGAGGTGATTGTAGAGGCGATTAGAAGGCTGTGAGGCATGGGAAGATAAGTTGAAGCAGGAGGGTATAGCACAGGTGTTAGCCATCACTTGGATCAGGCGGTCATGGACAGGCTTCTGGTAGCAACCATGGGCACGTTAGCAGAAGAGCAGAGGAAATGGCAGGTGCAAAGGGCCTGGGGTGGAACCATTCCGGGTGACCGAGTGAGGGGTGAGTGGTAAGGGTAGGGCTGAGGCAGATGCAGTGAGCTCTGTGGGCCGTTTGGCAGCACAAGAGGTTCCCCTTGGGTCCACCCTCCTTCCGACCCCTGCTTCTTTGATGACCTCATGTTCACCCCATCTTTCAGTTTTTCCTATTGTTTTCCTTCCTCCCACCACGGCGGTCCCACTGGAGAGCTTGGCACTGATTGGCTGCACACAGAATCGCCTTAAGCCATCTGCAAAAGCATCGCTCCTGCCCTGGGACAGGGCCTGTTTCCCGAATTCTTTTCAGCACTCACTTGCACAGCAGAGACACGGGAAGCTTCCATTGTGGCCTCCACAGACACCACAGCCTGCTGACACCTGGTCCCTCTAAACTGAGCAGGTGCTGAGTCTGGTGGTGGGATTTTACAACACACCTGTCCAGTCCTCTGCTCTCCTAACTCTGCTGGGAAAAACCACAGCCAGCACAGAGCCCAAACCGGCAGAGGAAATGACTCCCACCTCTCAGGCTGTGCATATCCCAGGAAACGAGAGGGAGAGTTTCCATTCCAGGGCAGCAAAGATGCTGAGGCCTGTGACTCAGCCTTTATACTCACCCCCAGGTACCCCAGCTCAGGAAAAGGGATCAGGGTGGGCTTTTACCCCTTTGTCTCTCCGATGTCTCTCAAACCTCAGCACGTGCACTGAGGTTTAACTACCCACATTCCTACATTACTTAGGGTTAAAACACCTCCGCTAAGGTTCTATCCCACTCTGCTCTGCGCCTGAAGCACTGGGCAGAACTAGAGAATGTCCCTCCTCCCCTCCTCCACAGGGGTCACCTGGCAGTCACACTGCTGCTGAAGCCACAAGACTGAGCCCTGAGCCCAGATCCATTCTTACCAAGTGGGGAATGAATCGTTTGCTAATTTTCAAGGTCAATTAACACAAGTTCGAAAGGAAATTGCTCTATCAGTCACCTGGAATGCCTGGCCCACAGAACAGAGGGGGGAACTGAGCTGCCCAGTTCTGGACACTGCACGTTTGTTGTTGGTTTTGTTTTGGATGGTTGGTTTTTGTTTTGTTTTGCTTGTTTTAGGGATAGGGTCTTGTGTGGCCCAGCCTGGACTCAAAGACACTACGGGTCAAAGGATGTTCTCCAGCTCCTGACACTCCTACCTCCACTTCCCAAGTGCTGAGATTACAGGTGTGTGCCACTATTCCCAGCCTGAAAGCTGCACGCTTTACTGAAAGCCACTGATCATTACCGAAACTGCAGTGAGGGACGAGCAAAGGTCATGAGGAAATGCTCCAACCACTGATTAATAAGGTGGGTCAGCTACAGAATAAAGGCACTTTCTTCGACCCAGGAAGTACTCGGGAGCATCCTCCCTGCCAGGGTCACTCTGCCTGCCCTGTAGCTGTCCCAGGCCAGCAGCAGAATCCAGGAGCCAACAGGGAGATCACTACAACAGGAAGTGATGCAGACCGACGCAGCATTTGAGAGTGTGTGCAGCCAGTGACATCATCAAAACTGAGCATTAGAGGATAGCCAACGTGACTTGTGTGATTTAATTAAATATGAACTTAACACAGAAATCTTTAGCTAACACCTCTGTGGGAGGAGGGTGGGTACCCAAATGTTGTGGAATATTATTTTAAGATGTGTTACATTGGCTTATGATGTAGGACATTGCTTTTTAACATATGATGCAAACATGCGTTGCGTTTGTTTAACTCTGTGAGGCTGTGTTACTTTGCCTATCTAGAACACCTGGTTGGTCTCATAAAGAGCTTAGCAGCCAATAGCTAGGCAGGAGAGGAAGAGACGGGGCTGCCAGGAAGAGAGAATAAGAACAAGAAAAGAGGAAGGTATGTAGTAAGAAGTAAGAACAGTATAAAGAATAAAGGAAGGTAAAAGTCCAGAGCAAAAGGTAGACAGGCTAACTTAAGAAAAGCAGTCTAGAAACAAGCCAAGCTAAGGCTGGGCATTCATAAGTAAGAATAAGTCTCTGTGTATATTATTTTGGAGCTAGGTGGCAGACTCCCAAAGAGCAAAGAGAGGGGAAAAAAAACTACACCCAAACCTGAGACTCAAGTTCTCATTCATTTTGCTGAATGCTTCAAATGGCCTACTGTTAGTTGAAAAAAAAAAATCCTGCCATCTCTTCAAAAACATCTTACTAAAATTTGTTAACATCCTACCCTCTCCTCACTGGCCTGACAAGGGGGAAAACAAAACACTCAGAAAACCTGACAGGTCTCCCCAGTAACTTGAAAGAAAGGCCACAAATCTGCTGTCTCATAACGATTGCCCCTTGTTCCTCAGCTGCTGAAAATACTTTATGCTGGAACTTCCAAAGGCTCTCACCGTGCTGTTCCCGGCAGAGCAGTCTTGGGCACAGCAGAATTGGTTGGCATAAAGCCGAGCAAGGGGCTTCCTCTGACTGACCTCCTGTGCAAGATCCGGCATTTCTGCTACGCTTGGGAGCCTGCAAGTGTGCACCTGCATTCGGAACCTCTTCCTTGCTGCAGTGCCCTCCCCCCAGGGGTCTCTCACCTAACAGGCCTCCTCACTGACAGGGGCCTGTCTCTTCACTGGGGCCCTGCCTTCCCAGAACCTCCAAAGGCACTCCATGAAGACAGGGGAGATGTCAATTTACAAGTTTGACCAAGGAATGAGGAGACTGCTTTCCCAGCTGTGACTCTGAGACAGACCCTCCTCTGAATTCTACCAGAGCCCTAGCATACCCCCTCCCCAACAGCTCTGTTCGAGAGGGAGGCTCATTGATAAATTACTGGGATTTTTGAACCCTGAGAGCAGCCTCCCCGTTTAATTTTCAACCCAGTGGAAGCTGGAAGGCAAACACTCTGGGCATTTTTGTGGGGAGCCCCACCAATGGCCTACCAGACACCCACGGAGTCCTGAAAAGAAACCCACCAGAAAAGGGCTCATTCCAGGAGAGCCGCACTGGTCTTGCCTCCCTTACCTCAGGCAGGTGAATCTCTGTATTCCATTCACACAGGGCTTCCTGGTTGTTGTCTGCACTCCTTGCAAACACAGGAACACTTCTGACTGGACACTCCTCAGCCGGTAACAGGAAGTTTCTCGTGAAGTGGCCCTTTCCTGTCAGTGGCCCAGGCTATAAATGTGGAGGTGCAGAACCGTGCGAGCGCCCCTAGCTGCAGGGACATTCCCTGTTAACCATTAGCCAGTGCAAACACAGGAAGTCCAGGCCCAGGCTAAGAAACAAAGGCGGAGCCTCCTCTGTTCCTCAGTGGAACCTTTTCTAGTCCTTCGGGGTCACAGCTGCCCATATCCCCTCGTTCGGTCGTCCTTTGCCACCAGCTGGAGTCTGACAGGCTCAATCAGCCCCAAAGGATGAGCCAAAACGCCTTGGCCTGGCTATCCACCTGCCTCTAGCGGAGGCCCAAGGTCTGGTGAAACCGGTTCCCTCCCCAAGCAACCAGGACAGCCAGAGAAGCAAAGCCTTGGAGAGAGACAAAAGCCCTAGGGGGTAGGTGAGCTGGGCCTGACAGCCTTTAGGAGTATGAGCTGAAGCTCCTGGAGGAATCCTGGTTGTGGGTTATTGATCAAAACCCAACTCACCTTGGGCTTCCTTTAGTCCCCTTGGTAACCAGCCATTCATCGCCCATCCCTGTGTCTGTAACATCCTTTTGGCTTATCAAGTTAAAAAAAAAGAAAAAAAAAAAAACTTTGGAATTATTAACAGCAGAACATTGCTTCCACCAAACTAAGACCTGGGAATGTTGTCAGGTAGGACCCAAAACCTGTAACAGAGACTTCAGTGTCTCAGTAACAAGCCTTCCCAATGTCCCACCGATGTGACTGACTTATGGCTGTCTTTTGTTCTGTGACTAAAAGTTCATATGGCCATTTCCACCATGGAACCTGCCATCCTAGGAAAACGGAGTCTGGTTTCCCCGGCCAGGGCCACTCACGTTTGGCTCAGAATAAACTGTTCCCTACTTGCTTTGAAACTAGAGATGTCTTTCCCTGTGGATCCCATTCTCCTGGGAGCATTTGTCTGAGAGCAAAGTACAGAAGGACGACTGCAGGCTGCTCCTCAGCAGCCCCTGCAGGAAGGAGCTTGGACTGTTACCCCCATTCCTATCAGCGCCTAGAGGACTCCTGCCAGCCCCTGAAGACTAAATATGGACTGGGATCCCCCACTCCTACAGCCCCCATGTGACCTCTTTCTACTCCCACAGAGATGCCCCCTCTTGAGGAAAACACTGTCTATGGTCTTTAAGATGTGTCCCTGAAGGTCTGCTGCCCAAGAGGCATTATGTGTGTGTTTGGGAAGTTTGCATCTTTTCTAAGTTTGAGCACAAAGAGAAACTTGAGTGATATTTTTAGCCCTTGCCATTTT